GTTATTTTCTCTTTTCAGTTATAAATATAATGAAATAAAAATCTAAATAAATATAAAAATAATGATATTTTACATAAGTCAATTTTGTATATATAAATCGAGAGATATTATAAACGATAAAAATTTCTATTAATATATGTAACACAACTACATAATCAGATTAATTTTTTAGTCGTTTAAATTTTACCATCTCGAATGATTTACAGAATTTTCCTTGAAGCAGTGAGTTAGAACTTTTGGTCAACACATTAATTTCTAGCAAAATAAACGAAGCTTTATCGATCTACGTGAGTCACAAATCGCACCAAATAGGGATGCATGAACCGTCTTTTCAACGTTCCAAGATCCATCTCTTCAATTCATTTATTTTCATTGTCATTTTCTTTCAACTCGTCTATCATTCTGAACTTTGCTTTCTGCTATCATAACCATTTTACGCTTTAAAACTATACGTTCCACGTTGCCAATTAGGGCATCTTTTAAAATCAATTATGAAACAATTCTAACATGAAAACTAGTATGCATAATATTATGACCAATCCAAAGGGTGCGTCTTTGAAAGTTGCTAATTACGGTTTGTCTTTGAAAGTTATTAGCCTTCACCGGTCTCCTCTTTCCTTGAACTCCAAGGATAGACTATTCTCAAAGCATTGGAAAGTAAAAATATTGTGCACGTGTTAAAATAAATATATGATTTATTTTCAATATAACTAATTTATATTTATTTTAACATGTGCAATGTATTATTATTTTGACATTGTTTCCAATGGTTTGTTCTCTCAAAGTATGACTGTTGTAAGTGATAATTTGATTTTCAATTTTGATCATTTGTATATGTGAATATATGACCCAAATGTCCTTTTTTTTCATTTATTTTAATTGCTGAAATGTGATATAATTATTAGAGTAAGTGTGTGTTTGGAAAGGATTATTTTACCAACTTTTAGTTGCTTGTGTATAGAAAAGCTGATTTTGAAATAAGCTGATTGTTTGAGACAATTTCTTAAATTTATAAACATTTTTATTTTTTTTTTATAGAAAAAAGTTGTTTTTAAGGATATGAAAATTTGAAGTTTATGAATATTTTTCAAATTTTATTTTCTCTTAAAACTGGTTTATTCTAATCCAAAGGTAAATTTTAATTTATTTGGTACAATTTGCCAATTTGATTTTAAAAGTGTCACACTCCTAATTATGCATCAGCAGGGTCTTGCTCAATTTGTCATCTTTTTATAGTAAATTTCACATATTATTTAATAAATTTATCCTAATTTTATAAATTTTAATAAATTTCAATCAATAGAGAATGTATTAAAAGAAACATTATTAGCACTTTTGTTACATTCATTCACCTGGGCCTTCAACTTCTTCAAACGACCATCAAGTTGCAATATTCCGGTTTCGTTACAGTATACGATGGGGATATAGCCTTACGTAGGACTCATTTATAACTGTTTATTTGAGGCCTTTGCCTTCCTTCTAACAAAAACAAAAAAGCATAAACAAGTTTGGGTTCGGTAGTTACTAGTCAAATTCGATGCTAAATTTTGGGCCTCGAAATATTGTAAAGATTTCAGTATCCAAACACGAATTTATCTCATAAATTAAAAAGGTTTGAGATAGACTAGAAGCTCAAACAAATAAATGCAAATTATACATACACAGCCTGCAAATATTTTCAAGATTTCAATCCAAACAATGATTTGTCTCATTCAAAGTTTTGAGATCGAAGGAAATATGGGAGATAGAAAGAGGTGGAAAAACCCTCAATCTAAAGAAAAACTCTCTCCGGATACTCCAAGCAGAAAGAAAGTTTTATTATAGTAAAAATATTGCATTATTTTTACTTACTTATTTAATATGATAAAAAAGTTTGATTCCTAAATAATATATATAAATATTCATAAATTCATTTATAACAAATTAAATAAATTTTAATCATTTCTAAAAAAAATAATTTTCATTTATAATTCTCAAAATTTATAATTTTTAAGTATGAAAAAATTTCACTTCTATCAAGTCACCCCTTTAAAATCTTATATCATTATATAATTTAATTTCTCCTCCATGTATGGACATTGTGTATTTATGATCATAATTAATTTTTGGTAAGTAATACATAAAAGTATTATTTTAAAACAATAAAAAAACATTTTTATTAAAATAACTTCTGGATTAATTTAAGCAAATATGATGTATTAATATGCCAACTTTTTTTTTTTTTTTTTTTATATTGTTAAGGTCACTCGAAACCATGTGACTCGAAAAGGGTGTGAAAACTACTCGAAACAAAAGATAAAGGTCAAACACCTACAAAGATTAAATTGAGAGCCTTAATTGTTCACACGTGAATGTGTTCGAATAGAATTAATTAAATTGAACAAAAGAGTGCTCGAAAATTTATCTGTTGTTCATTGAGGGGTTAAGCTAGAATGCGGTCTCGATAGTAACTCAAAAATGTAATAGTAACTCGAAATTGTAGAGAGTTGTTATTGAAGGGATCTTAACAGTTAAGGCGTACTAAGGTGGTTATTAAGGGTCGAATCGAGTAAAGTTGAAGCGTGAGGTGAACGGTTATGGGAAGTTACAATTTAGAGTCACGTAACAAGCATAGTGGATAGCGGTTATCCCCTAATGGCGTACATGCGTGAAATTAACCGTTCTTGATTGGCTCTATAAATACAGAAGCTACGTACCTTCACGGGGGTCGGAAAACTCATACCAGAACTGAACTCTCAAGCACTCTCTGCCCGCGCATATGACTTTCGTGAAAGGAATTATTTTTGGGTATGACTACTTCTCGGCCATTTTCCTTTTCTCTTTTTAGGAGTAGAATTAGTGTAGTTTCGTGTTCTTTAAATCTCTTAGTGTTAGATTATTATCAATGCTGTAATATTTTGAACTTTGTGTAAAGTGAATCATGATTTGTATTGCCAATATCATTATCGTTCATTCTGTTCATCTAAGCGTTTACATGCATGGAAATTATTACGTGTTAATCATTGATGAATGCTTAGAAACCAGTAATCATTGATCATTCTACTCCATTCCTCTTCATTCTATAAAATTCAAAAACATATACTTAAATTGAAACATTTGTTGTGCTAGTCTGGATAAAAAGAACCCGTAAACGAATTCCACCGTAAACAAATTGGCACGCCTGGTGGGACCCGTTTAGGTCAAACATAATTGGACTAGTTTTAGGTACGCATGTTGCATAAGACTTAGGAGTGGAAGAACAATGTCTACATCTAATAATCAGAGAGAAACAAACACGAGAAATAATAATCATCTAGATGTAGAACAAGCAAACCCCAACCCCGATAATGTGGCTAACGTGACCAGGGGGCAACGTCTTCTTCCCCTGTGTTACTCGAAAATGTAGCTAGGCAAAATAATGTACTACCAACTAGCAACCATGATTTTCCAAGTGTTGAGAGTCAGGGTCCCTCATCAATACTAGATAGATGGAAACATGGTGGAGGTTGTGATTGTGGTGGCTGGGACATGGCCTGTCCCCTTATTCTTTTAGGCAATCCCAGTGTTCAATTTACTGAAGATCGACCTCTTATAGAGGAATGTCAAACGCT